TTGTCATTTTGGTGCCTTACACTATTTATTTTACCTCTTACTTTTTGTTTCTCCAGTTCATTTGACGATTTTAACGTGGGTTTTAATCTCGCCATGAAGGTTGTTTCAGTTTATGAAAGTTGTTTCAACTTTCCACGCTTTTGATGAAATCATAATAGTGATATAATACCATTTGATAAACAATTCACAATTGATGTATTCAATGATTCGATCTAGAGCCATTGCTCCTAAAGGCCCTGGTTTCAAGTGGGAACATTTAGAACAACAGTATATTAACTTCATGATATCGACTTCAATTTGAAATTGAATAAAATACAGGCCATTTTTTTAGTGCTGATCCCCACTACTGTTATGTTGAAAACGGTAAGACATACAAGTTTTCTGTTTTGGGGATCTGGAATAATCTCTTTCCAGATGGAGAATATTAGTAGATAGTTGTTTTTGAAACATTCACCAAAAACGAGAATTGCCGAATTTTGCTTTATGGCTCTACGGTCTTATTTTTGATGATATAAAGAAAGCATGCAAACTTTTAATACTGTTTCATTATCGGTATAATTTGATGTAAACCAATTTGCAATGTGACGTTCGGTTTATTAGCATACATGTTTGTTTTCAATACGGACATGTATTATAATATATAGCTGAATGTACCAACAACTTAAAGAATTAACAATATTTCACTATCACAAACTAATCTATTTACAATACTTAGCAACTAACGCTTAATTTATTTCCACTATATGAATTCCTTGTTAACCCGCTCGATTCACTTTCTGGACCATACTGCCCTCTTGGGACGAGAAGCCGGCCTTATATATCGGTAACGATCGTTCTAGAATTCTATAGTCGTTTCGGGAGAAGCCGGCCTTATATATCGGTAACGATCGTTCTGGAATTCTATAGTNAGAGTGTGTGTTCGGCAAGTCTTGGCCTACACCTGCCGATATAAAGCAGATGTCTCCCAGTGACCTGTCCATCTTCCTGGAAAGGTCAAGATGGACGATGACCTAGGAGGAAAACTCCTCGGGAGGATGTACAATGGGTCACATGGGGCTTAAGTGCTGTGGGCTTACACTCACCCTCCCTACTCTACAGATACAGATTCAGATCCTATTATGAAACTTTGTAATGGTTATAAAGTACTGAACTTTACTGACGATTCATTCCTACAAGTCTGGGGTGAATATAGTGATGGGAAAAGAGCCTAACATTATCCATTCAAATTTGCCATAATATCTATCTTCAAGAGGACCAGGATTAAGGCACTAGGATCTTTGAAATTTCAGAGTGAGGAAGTACTATTGTGGGGGGAAGTTAACTATTTTCGAATGATACTAGATTCTATAATCATCTATAACCAACTTCACGCAGCTTCAAAAAGGCCAGATGCCTCAACGAAAAGAAATGGACAATACACAAGGAATACTGATTCAGTGCTCAAACTAAATGAGCGGGCCAATATTTTCAGGAACAGTGAGACTACACTTGGGGTAGTGATGAGCCCAAAAGACTGGTCTGGGAATGAGCAATGAAAATGCTGATGAGTGTGCTAGATAGGGATCACCAACTTTGTTGAAGACCACAAATTTTAGGGGTATTAGACCACATCAGGAAATACACCAATAAGAAATCCTGAGAAGAGAAGTGGGAAACTTCTTGAACCATAAGGGATCATCTCAGAATAATTACAGAACAATTCATTGGACAATGTCTATTTGGGGAAATCTTCATAAGAATTGGAGTAGATAATCAAGACCACAATTCCAGACAAAGCAACAAGAGAACAGTGACAGCTTGTTATGTCTTACGCAAATGTCACTGGGTCAGAAAGACAAGCAAAGGACCTGTACAAAATAGTATGACAGGATTGTTAGAAAAGATGGAGAAATAACACAATATAACTATGAGGAAACAGCGTTTTCCAGAAACATGGAAGAAATGGACAAGTCACATGGCTACCAAATAGTTGAAAATAATTGAAAAAGTGGTGATAATGGCTGACAGAATCGAGCTAGCACTAAATAATTTCCAAAATCAGTTTTATGAATGATTTTCAATGAAATAACTGGCGATTATGGATGGGAAAAATTTTTGAATGAACGAAATGACATATATTCAGCACATCTTCCAATGAAGTGATTTCAAGGAAATCGGCATTTCATGTCGAAAATTTTCAACGGTATGAGCAGTTTTTTGTCTTTTGCTCACTACGGAATGTTACAGGAGATAAAAATTAAGAAAAACTATTTGTGAATGTTTTCACCATGAAATTCTCAAAACTTGTGTGAGAATGATTGTACTTATATACACAAATCATTGTAAACAAAAATTAATTTATTTTCTGCTCCAGTATTCAGTTGAGGTTGATTCTGTTTTTTCAATTTCAGTTTCACTTCTCTACACCACTAGACAAAATATGCATATTCATCGCTTCAATATGTTCGATAATATCTGGAGTGATGCAACCGTTCATGATGATATTATTTGGAGACATGACTGGATCCATAGTAGCCTATGCATCGTCATCGTATGGAAATATTACGGAAGAAGAAAAATCCATTTTTGACGAAACCTTGAGGAGAGATGTCCAATTTTTTCGGCATTTCATGTCGAAAATTTTCAACGGTATGAGCAGTTTTTTGTCATATGTTCACTACGGAATGTTACAGGAGATAAAAATTAAGAAAAACTATTTGTGAATGTTTTCACCATGAAATTCTCAAAACTTGTGTGAGAATGATTGTACTTATATACACAAATCATTGTAAACAAAAATTAATTTATTGTCTGCTCCAGTATTCAGTTGAGGTTGATTCTGTTTTTTCAATTTCAGTTTCACTTCTCTACACCACTAGACAAAATATGCATATTCATCGCTTCAATATGTTCGATAATATCTGGAGTGATGCAACCGTTCATGATGATATTATTTGGAGACATGACTGGATCCATAGTAGCCTATGCATCGTCATCGTATGGAAATATTACGGAAGAAGAAAAATCCATTTTTGACGAAACCTTGAGGAGAGATGTCCAATTTTTTGCCGTTAATACCGCAATTATCGGCCTGGTGACCATAGTTACTACTTATTTATCTGTCGTGCTTTACAGTTATAGCTCGGTTAGACAGGTGAGCTATACTACTTACTCATCTTCCGTGTTCTTCAGTTATAGCTCTGAAAAACTATATGAGCTATACAACTCACATATTTATCGAGCTCTACAGTTTCAGCCTCGTTATATAAGTGAACTATAATATTTTTTCATTGGTGCCTTACATTTATAGCTCCGATAGATAAGAGAGCTGGCTTAATCTAAAGATGAAGCATCGTTAGACAGGTGATCTATATTACGTATATGACTTGCTCTATAGTCAGACTGGTAATTTATACTACTTACTTATCTGTCGTGCTCTACAATTATAGCTACGTTAGACAGATGAACTATACTACTTACTTTTCTGCCGTGTTCTTCATTTGTAGCTCCGATAGACAAATAAGCTATACAACTCACTTATTTATCGAGCTCTACAGTTTTAGCCTCGTTAGATGATAAGTGAACTATACTAATTTTTCATGCTATAATCTGAAGATGAAGCTACTTTAGAAAGGTGATCTATGTTGTCTTGCTCTATAGTCAGACTGGTAATTTATACTGCTTACTTATCTGTCGTTCTCTACAATTATAGCTGCGTTAGACATATGTGCTATGCTCTTTACTTATCTGTCATGCTTTGCATTTTTAACTCCATTAGAGAAGTGAGCTATACGAGTAAAACTCACTTACCTGTCTTGAACTACAGTTAAACAAGTGAGCTGTACTACTTACTAATTTATGCTCGTGCTTCACCATTATAGCTCCGTTAGACAGGTGACCTATTGTTCTTACATATCTGTCATGATCTGAAGATATAGCACAAGTGAGCTATACAACGCACTCATCTGTCGTACTTCACAGTTATAGCTCCATTAGATAGGTGAGCTATACTGCTCACTCATTTGCCGTGTTCTTCATTCATAACTCCGCTAGACAGGTGAGCTATACTACCTACTCATCTGTCGTGCTCTGCAGTTATAGTTCTGTTAGACATGTGAGCTATACTACTTACTTATCTGTCGTGCTCTTCAGTTATAGTTCCGTTAGACAGATGAGCTATACTACTTACCTATTGGTCATATTCTACAGTTATAGCTCCATAAGACAATTGATTTGGAGCAAGTGAAATTTTCCAGGTTTTTGTCAGCCGGTAGTGAAGTTAAAAGTAATCAATTCATAGATTCATCTGACTNTGAAATTTTCCAGGTTTTCGCCAGACAGTAGTTAAAAGTAATCAATTCATAGATTCATATGACTTCGTCACTCTTCCTAGAAATTACAGCCATAATATCAACATTGAAATTCGGAATAAGACAAATATATTTTTCATAAGAGCTCTCAAAAAGACATATTAATGAAACTCCTTTGCTACAATTCGAATCACTTGATGATAATAGATCATTTTTCAATTGGAATGATTGGTAACTTGCCTCGAATTTGAGTTATACAGAGGGTCAAATAGAATTTTGACCTCATCTAACCTAAACTATACAGAGTACTCTATAATTCCCTTGATTTTTTCATTTCAAGAGTTGATTATCACTACCATATTTGAGTTCTGTTAGTTCCTATCTTCTGTTCGAATTTCAATATTCAATACAAATAAGAATTGAAGTGTTCGAAATTTTGTTCGATAAAGAAATATAATAAAGAAATGTGTCTCATTGATTTGTTATTCTACACAGTTGTCGAAAAAATAGTGTATGCAACATGCCCGAAAATGCACGCAGTCTAGTCGTAGAATTTAGTTTACCTGTCCAAAAAATCAGACTTTTTACGTAAATGACAATTATATGAATAAGAACGTGAAAAAATGATAATGAAAAGAACCACGTCACAAAATAGATATGACAGATAGATATTCTTTCAATTTTGTAGGTTTCAAAGATTTTTTATTTACAGGAACATCGCCAGAATTGAAGAAGGTATCGGCGAGAAAATTGGGGTATTTCTATATTTTGAATCGAGTTTCGTGGCTGGAATCATTATGGCTCTCGTGAAGGGCTGGAAATTAGCTCTAGTCTGCATGGTATCGCTACCAATATCCACCACCATCATGGGATTGATAACAACGGTCAGTATGATACAGCTTATTGTCGAGAAAAATAATCAAAATGGTTTCATTTCGCATTACTAAAATAAGAGCAACAATATGATGAGGTAACAAAACACGATGATGTGGTTCCGTATCTTAACCAATTTTGAAAATCTGTGTGAAATCTGTTTCTTCGCAAACAAGCTGTTGCTGCTTACGAACAGCAACCAATGATCAACGAGGACTCACAGTTTGAAGTGCGATGCCTATCGCGAATATAATAATCACTTATTAGACAGAAGAACAATCAAACTTTGTCTGAACAAAAAGTATACTATTTCCTGAACCTTATTAATCTATTGGTTGTTCCAAAAGTTTTGTCCGTTTTTATGAATGAATCGAAGAGTTTTTTTATAAAAGTGTATAATCATAAATCCTTATTGGAAAGCGGTTTCGACTCTCGTCATCATCAGTGCTCACCTGAAAGTGAGTGATCTAATTGGAAAGAAAGTTTTTTGTTTTTTTAAATTTTGTGGTTATGAATTTAGGAAAACTGATTGATGATTACTTACGTGTCATGCAACAGGAAGTATAGAAAACAAGGACATAGTACATTTGTAAGATTTGATTTACATAAAACTAATCAGCCTAATATAAATAATGATGTTTATAGCAAGGTCAGTAATTCAATTATTTAGGGCACATCAATCATTACTTTGCCTTGGCAGAAATTGAACTCTTTGAAGAGACTTCAACTCCGAAAAAGGACTTCAGCTTTATTTGCAATCTTCTGGAGCTTTATTTTTCAGTTGTTCGTTCTAATTGATAGTTGAGTTCTCATGTTCTTTACATCCCAGTTTCAATTCTCTCGGTGGTTTGAACCAAGTTTTTCCCACCTTCAGTGTAGTAGAATAATTTCCTTCACAAGCAAGCATGATGATTTTAAATTACTTATTGACTGCTTGGTGAAACTGCATTATCCTCGAACATACTTTCAGCCAACAAATGAGCTCAAACAATATATTTTCCAGGTTTCAACAAAGTTCTTCCAACAAGAAATGGATTCCTACGGATCCGCAGGTGCAATAGCTGAAGAAGTCCTCAGTTCTATAAGAACAGTAGTTGCTTTCGATGGCCAAAAGAAAGAGACAGAAAGATATAACAATCATCTCATCCAAGCTAAGGATAATAACATCAAACGAGGATTATTCAATGCCTTGAGCAACGGTTGTTTATGGTTCTTCGTTTATGCGTGTTATGCTTTATCGTTCTGGTATGGGGTTGGGTTGATACTCGAAGAAGAAGATCTACCACCGGAACAACAGGTGTATAATCCGGGTAATATGGTGTCAGTGAGTATTTCTTGAATTTTATTATTACTAGTTATTGTTTTGACCAAGGAATTTGGTGTTCCTCAAGGATCAATGCTTGGGATCCTACTGTTGATAATCGATGGAGCATAGTTTGCCATAGTCTTCATTTTCAGATACCCTGTGTTATGTGCCCTATATCATTCCATGATGATTCAATCTAAGTTTGCACTGGTTAGGCCCTACCTCCCGTAGACCCGATACATTTAGGAGGGCGCGCCAGCCTGAGCAAGCACAGTGAGCCATGTATGACAGCCTTTTGTATTCGTACGACTAAGATTTCTACCTGAGTACGGCAAGCAGACATGGTTTCGAAATTCGAGAGCAGAGAGGGCGTAATTCTACCAAATAATTCAATAATCAGAGCAAACCATCCGGACAGAGTGGTATGGATAGAGATTTTATCCGTTTCTCTTTTTCTTTTCGGATGATATTCGTCTCGCCAGGAGCTAAAAACTCCTGACAAATATCGTCTTGCTGTGCTAGACGAGAAGGATTATATCAAGCCTATTAGCTTGAGTTTGAGGGTGAACAACGAATAGTTACAATGAATTCGGAACTTCTCTTTCTCCACAACGAATTCAATATCCTTTGTAGGGCAGGCCATCAACGGTGTATCGTCAATATCGTAAATGTAGCACTCTAAGACCCATGTTATGTCAACGGATGTATGGTGAGACCCCATATGCTTGACATGCTGACAACTGCATCAGAGGCTCAGACCGACCGCGGCAGGTCCTGCATCTTGTATCAGGAACCTCTATACCCATCATAGCCCACTGCGGTGGACTAAGTTGTTGAAGGTGCTATTTTGGCAGGTCATGATGAACTCCTCAGTTTGCGACTTCGGCCCACTTGATGCGAGAAAATCGAAAGTTGGGCACTTCGATGAGCCAAAGTCTTCAATGTCGTTGAATAAGACACCATGCATTGGATTATCCTTGTGCTGCCGCAGAAGTGAAGTGATCTGTGCGTTGTTTATATGGGTTTTTTCCTGAATGAGTTTGAACTTGGTGTCAGAGCAGTGCTCATCTCGTTCAGTGGCCCGAGAAAACCGAGTTCACCAGCTGCTTGGTCAGCTACACTGAAGGGAAACGCTCCTATTCTTGCTTGTCCATGGTCACGGACCATGCAGAAAAGGGGAACTCCTGACGGCTTCACAGGCTTCATCCAGTACCATTTTGTCATGTAGACACTTCAAACTAAAAAGTCCACGGCCTCCCTATTGTCGGGGGACGGACAACCTTGAAACGGGCTATTTTGGATGCAAACTCCAATGGATGTGCATCATTTTTCAGTTCTTTCCGTCAAGTTAATAAAACTCCTCCCGGCTCAACTTCACTACTCAAAACGAGTAGTGTGATATTGACACGGCAAGCATAATTGTTGCAGCAACTTTGTTCTTCCTCAGTTCCGATGACCAGATCTATTAGAGTTTGTGCTAATACTTGTCACGAAGAGAATTCTTTACTGCTGTTACCTTTTGTGAATGAAGTTGAGAGTGGTGTATACGTCTCTTCTGCATCCAGATGGTTCAGAATGCTTCCATCCATGAGCTACACATTCTTTCCGTATTCCCCGCACCGTCCTTTTTCGAGATGCATCGTTGCACAGTTGTCTATTCCGAATTTCATAGTCTGCGTTTACTTTTTCAACACCCTCAAGGACTGAGATCCTCTTCTCCAGAGCAAAAAGTTCAAGACCATCCATATAAAATGAATGGGTGACCTTGTGCCTCCGGTTTCCGGGGGTACCACAGTTATACCTTCGAGTATTTCTGAGCACAACAGATTATGGCAATAGTGAGATGCAGTAGAGGAGAGGACTGAGGGAATCGCTCTGAAATACATCCCTTTTGAAAGTGACCCACCCTGTTTAGACTCTAGTCAAACCAGATGTTATGGTGGAGCGGGTCCACCAGTGTGATATCAGTTCTTCAAGATATCTCAGCGAATGCAAGATGTCTTGCGGTAAACGATGCAGACCATAGAGAAGTCACGCTTGAACTGTATTGAGTCCTGCGTTACACATCTATCCATGAGCATTTTTTTTATATCTATCTATAAGATGCTAGTAAACACCAACGGAGTTAGGCATGCTATCAGTATGTAATTCTTTGGAATAGACGAATCTTTTTTTTGGAGATGAGAACGGTCCGGAATAGGTTGCTCTCCTTCCAGCCATGAGTAGAAAACTCAATCGGTGCTTGGAGGTTTTTTGCACTAATAAGTGTCTATCCCATCTCAGTATGAAGCAGCGAAATTCTTGGGATCCACAATGACTCTTTGAACGTCATCCGGGGTTATCGGGTTGCGTAGTTAATTGAGCTCAGGCCGTCGAAGCTCTCTGCTAAAAGCCTCGAACTGCGCTAGGGCTGAAGTGGCTACGGGTGTTCATAGATGCCCTTCCAGAAGGACGACCAGCGGTTGTTGGATTATCCACAACTTGTGGAGGCTCTTGGAAGTAGCGATACGTTTTCTCGCGGAATCTGAGGTTCTCCGCGATACTTCTTGCTCGCCTCACTAGTGACATTTTCAGTGCCCTATATCATTCCGTGATTATTGATGATTCAAATCATCATTGTTATTATTTCAGGTATTCTTCTCTACTCTCATAGCGACCTGGAACTTTGGTATGGGAGCCCCTCTGTTGGAAGTCTTCAGTGCGGCTAGAGGAGCTGCACAAAAAATCTTCTTTGTTTTGGATAGTGAACCAAAAATTGTGAGGAACCAAAACGAGGGGATAAAACTGAGAAAATTTCGATCAAATATCACTTTTCAAAATGTATTTTTTAACTATCCCACTCGACCAGATGTGAAGGTATGTATTCTAGGATTTGAAAGTAGTAGCAGTGATGATAATGATAATTTACTCGATATATTCGAATGATATGTCTCAGATGGGCATTGTTGCTAATTCTAAACTGAAATTAAAATCGAATCATTTTGAATAATATCATGAATGCCAGTCAATCTTCAATTTGTATTACTATCAATAACGAATGGTTTGTTTAGAGTTCTTGAAACCTTGCTGCTGAACAGAAAAAACCTACCAAAATTACTTTTATATGTTTGCACAAATGTCTCTATTTTCTCATCGCACTCATTTGTATTCCTGACACCATAAAGTGTTTTATGTTTTTTCCAGATTCTCCAAGGACTAAACCTTCAGATCAATTGTGGAGAAACCATAGCGTTGGTTGGTAATTCAGGCTGCGGTAAATCAACGTGTATTCAGTTGCTTCAAAGGTTTTATGATCCTATTGTTGGAAATGTGAGTAAATACTTGATAGTCAGTGTCACTATTTTTCGAGTTTGAAAGCCGTAGATTTTTGAAATTTCTTCCTGACGTTTTACTGGCGCGAGTGGCTAGCTTCTTCAGAGGTTTAACCATAATGGCTTGCTGTCCTAACTTTTAGGCTTCGTCAGGCTTTGTCAGGTAATCATATGTATTGGTACCTGTACTTGTACCTATACTTGTACCTGCACTTATACCTGCACTTGTACCTGTACTTGAACCTGGAACATTAACAATCTTGCTGCCTGTTGTCATTCTGTTCGTTATTCTCGAATTCCTTAAAATGGGGTTCCATATTCGTATGAGGTTCACCGCTTCTTCTTTTCTGTTGAAATTCTCTGTGTGTTTGTGGATCTCTATTGCCTCCCGTACCAGTCGGCTATAGTATCTCTGGTTGGGAGCAATTAGTTCTGTGTTTTCAAACAAAAGTATGTGGTCTCCTTCACTAAGCGCGTGTTCTGTCACAACTGACTTGTCCGTTTGGCTTAGTCTGCAGTTCCTTTTATGCTCTTTCAGTTTTGTTCCCTTGGATCTTTTGGTGGTTCCGATATATACCTTCGGTCCGTGACCCTAGGGATAAACGGTAGATATGCGCGTGCAACCATCTGATCCTTTTTCGCTTTTTCAACCATGTTGCTCTTTGGTTTCATGGCTTTCCTGATCTCGGAGGCACTGTATCCATTCGACATCAAGGTCACTTCGAGGTATTTCAGTTCCCTCTCCAGATGTTCTGGTCCACATATTCTCCGAGCCCGTTCCGTAAGAGTGGAGATGACTGCTGGTCTTTTGGCTAGGATGATGGTGCGATAGTGCGTGCAAGTATATATCTGTGTGTGTCGGTTATCGATACACTTTGTTGTGGGTTAGTCTTCTACCACATCGTACTACTAGTACATCAGGGAAAGCTATCCGTTGGTCCTGCTCAATCTCCATGGTGAATTTTATGCTAGGGTGTTGGGCGTTCAAGTGGTTCAGGAAACGGTCTCATCCAAGTACCGTTTCAAAGTCCTTACCGGACAGAAACGGAAAAGCGACAGTCGCCTATTGATTGACGGTAACATCATTTCCGACCCTTCAGATAAAACCAGTGGCGTAGTGTGGGTGTCGGCTGCCCGGGGCGGAATACAATTTTGCCGCCCTCTTAATATATACAGACAAAATAACTCCCAATGAGTTTAATATATATTTCACTACAATTGCTAATACTATCATTGCAGAACTTCCTATTGATAAAGACAACATCTCTTTAATATCGCTTGACAATACATTGGAACCCCGTTCATCAGGTTCGTTTATGTTTACACCTGTTGCCAATTCGGAAGTTTATAATGCTATTCACGAATTAAAAAACTCTAATTGTATCGATATCTATAATCTCAACAGTAAAATAATTAAGGCGCTTTGCGATCTAATTGTAGAACCTCTTACCTATTATTTGTTCAATGCTAGCAAATAAATTAAAAATTAGTAAGGTCATTCCAGTTTTTAAAAAAGGGGACAAGAATATCATTGAAAATCATCGACCCATCTCTATGGGTCTATGTTAATCAAAAACAGGTTATATTTCTATTTTGAAAAACGCAATCTCTTGAATCCTGATCAGTATGGTTTCCGTAAGTCTTGCTCTACTGTACAAGCAGTTGTTCGTGTGGTGGCTTTGAGAATAGTCAGCAGAGCGCTGTAACTCTGTGTGACTTGAGTAAAGCATTCGACTGTGTCTCTCACCATTTACTACTTCATAAAATGAATGAATATGGGGTTAGAGGTGTGGCTCTCTCCCTTCTCACATCGTATTTACAAAATCGAAAGCAATATGTCGACCTAGGAGACAATGGAACGTCTAATTTAGAGCCTATAGTAAACGGTGTTCCGCAAAGATCTGTGCTGGGACCTCTCCTATTTATAATATTTTTTAATGACCTTTCCTTCCAAGTTCTGCCCCATAAATGTGTTGTTTATGCCGATGACACATCTATTGTCTGCTCAGGCAAAAATTGCAAACATTTATTGAAAATCTCTGAACTTGCTGAAATCCAAGCTGAAAAATGGTTCAATGCGAATCTTCTCAAACTTAATATGAGAAAAACCCAGAGACTGATATTTTCTTCCAATAACATGCTTTTGGAAGGAAAAACAGCCCAATTACTTGGTATAACTTTGGATGACTTCCTTAATTAGACATGTCATATTGATTAATTAAATACGAAATTATCCAAATATCTGTTTCTGTTGAGGCAATTGAGAAAATTCGTTTCTATTGATACTTTTCTCGCTGTCTACTATGCCTTTTTCCTCTCGTTCATCAGCTAGGGGACACTTTGGGGTGATTCTACTTCTGCTGGAAAGATATTTGTAACACAAAAAAAATCAATAAGGATAATTTCTAATGCTGAATATCGGGACACATGTCGTCTATTGTTCAAAAAATTGGAAATCATGACTCTTCCATCGATTTTCATTTTTCAGTCACTGCTGGAGGCAGTGACTGAAAAGAGTGTTTGGGAAAAGTGCTTGTTTTGCATTTATTTCACGCGAGAAATTGCAGTTCCACCAGTTCCAAATACAATTTTCAGATCTTCCTTGACGACATCGACATACGAGATCTAAACCCCAGCTGGTTGAAACAAAAAATTGGCGTCGTTAGCCAGGAACCAGCCTTGTTTGCTACTTCGATTGCAGAAAATATCCGGTATGGTAAGTTGACCGCTACTCAGGCAGAAATAGAAGAGGCAGCTAAGAAAGCCAACGCTCACAAGTTCATCTCAAGCCTACCGCATGGTTATCTAACAATCATCGGTGAAAGAGGAGCTCAGCTCTCTGGAGGACAGAAACAACGGATTGCCATCGCTAGAGCTTTGGTGAGGAAGCCTGAAATACTTCTTCTAGATGAGGCTACTTCTGCTTTGGATACCACCAGCGAAGCGGAAGTCCAGGCAGCTCTGGATTCGGTGAGTTGAAAGAAGAAAGTAATTGAAAGTTAGTGATGAGTTGCTATGAGGTTCAACTCAGAGGTTGTGGGTTTGAACCTTGTCTACCAAGATAACGACTTTCCTTTCTATATGTTTCATTAGTGGAATTGGAATGTACTATGACTCATTTACACTTTTAGCACTCACTCTTTTCATGTCTTATTTTTATTATATGTATCTATTCATGAGGCAAACATATTTCCAGATCAGCGGCGAGTGTACAACAATAATAGTGGCTCATCGTCTATCAACCATCAGAAACGCGCACAGGATAGTCTTCATAGCCGACGGAGAAGTCAGAGAGATAGGAACCCATACTGAACTGATGATGAAGGCAGGTGCATATTACAGCCTGGTGAATTCTCAAGGACTGACGGACACGAGTGAAATGCAAGGTAAATGAAACTTCTATCGTACAACCTTATATCTGAGACTGTTTTGAAAGTTTTTCGAACTGGTAGAACAATAGTTGAAAGAACTTTGTCTAACGACTTTCCTCTCTGTATGTTCCATGAGTGCGTCTGGCTAGCATCTGTGCTACTTTCGCCGTTCTTTGTTTTTTCTCCAGATGTTGACAGATGTATTGTTTCACCTCCTAGGTCCTAGGTCCTCTGTTTTGGTCCTATTGGATAATCCAACTAGGGTAATTTCGGGTTTATATCCAACCCTTTTTTTGCTTTTATCTTTTTTGCTGGTATCTTTTTGGCAACACTGTTTTTGATAGATCACGCGTGAATCGTGTCTTGTGTCATTGTCAAACTTGTTCAGTTTGGTCAATATTTAAACTATGAATCGACTTATGAATGAACAACGCTTGTAAACTAATGAATTTTATTATTAAAATTCATGCACGGGGAAGAAAGTGCATCGTGCACTTCTTCCGATTCATGGGCAGTTTCGTCGACCTACTGAGGAAGCTGTTCGAAAGCGTGTGACTAAATTTCGAACCAGTTCAAATTATTGGACATTAAATCATCAACACGCATACGTAGAGTGAGGACCGAAGAAAATATTGCGGCTATATCTGCCAGTATTCGTGATGACCGTGAAATGTCGATTCGCCGTTGTTCTCAGCAATTGGACCACTGTTACACCACTACGTGGAAAATTGTGCGGAAGGATTTGGGTGTAAAACCTTATAAGATACAGCTGGTGCAAGAATTGAAGCCACACGACCTCCCACAACGTCTAACATTTGGTGAATGGGCTATGGCAAAGTTGGAGGAAGATCCACATTTTCATCGAAAAATTGTGTTCAGCGACGCAGCTCATTTCTGGTTGAATGAATTGCAAAAACTACCGATGCATCCCAAAAAAGTTACTGTTTGGTGTGGACTATGGGTCGGTGGCATCATCGGGCCGTACTTTTTCAAAGACGACAATGGCCGGAACGTTACTGTGAATGGCGAGCGCTACCGTGTGATGATTGACGACTATTCGTTGCCCAAAATGAAAGAATTGGACATGCCTGACATGTGGTTTCAACAAGACGGTGCCACATGCCACACGGAACGCGAAACAATGGCCCAATTAAGAGCCGCAATTAGCCGCCTAGATCGTGTGATTTAACGTCTTTGGATCATTTCTTGTGGGGTCATGTTAAGGCTCATGTCTACAGGGATAAACCAGCAACGACTGACGCTCTGGAAGCTAATATTGGAGCATTTATGCGTGAAATACCGGTCGATATGTTAGAGAGAGTGTGCCGAAATTAGACCTTGCGCATGGGCCATCTGAAGCGGAGCCGCGGACAACATTTGCATGAAATCATCTTCAAACATTAAATTATATTGATCGTTCTATCGATTCCAATTAGGATTTCATGAATTTTTTTAAATTTTTTGTGTTGTTTTGAAAATCAAATCCTATACCTTTAAATAATCACCCGATAATATCATATTCACCAGGCCTGTGTATTTCTCCACCCTAGAGTTGTGGACTTCCTAGCTCCTCTATCTTGGTGAAATAGCCGATTTGAATATGCTTATAAGTCGTTCTTCGTTGATCCATCTTGATATAAAATTGAATGTGCTTCGGTGATTCAAATGTAATAAAATTCAAGACTCGTTACTTGCGTCTACTGAATATTTTCTTTTTACTTACCTTGTGGAGTTGACATCTCCGCATGGAAAGTTCAAATGTTGCAATCAAGTACTATTGCTGATGTTACTTCGAAACAGTGATATCTGCTACTATAATATGTCATGAAAGCATTGCTATGGGGCTCCGGCCTCACCCAATTCTGATGACCATGAGTTTATCGAAAGTAGAAGCAATATTTCTGTTCCAAACTATCAAGTTCTGAAGCATTTGGTATCAAAATTGATGTGCATCGAAGAGGGATAAATACACTTTGGAAATTAATATTTCTAAAGAATAGTGAACAATTTTGGTTCTTTGATTACAGGAGATAGAAGACTGAGTAAAACCCTGAGTTGGTCAAATAAATCTGAACATGTAAATGAAGAAGAAGAAATCGAGGAGGAAGTATCTGTAAGTTGTTTTTTCGTTAATTTCTTCAACTCAACACCTTGGTAATTATTTATTTTTTCGAGGAGGAACAAACCCCAAGGCAAGGTGTGCTGATGAAAGTACTTAAAATGTCTGCACCAGAGTGGTACTACATTGCCATAGGATGTACTGCCTCCATCCTCACAGGTGCATCCCTACCAGTTTATGGGCTAGTCTTTGGAGACATAGTGGGAGTAGGTATTTTCGCTGAAGTTAATGCCCTTTTGATTGGATCATTTATGACACGACGCGACGGCGAGATAAACGTCTAGCGCTAAAACAGCAGCTCAAAACATGAGTACCTGATTCATTCATAAATGCACCAAATGGTTGAATTGATTAATACGACTATTCGTCTCTGATTTTCATATTTCATCCTCGTTTTTGTAGGTTTTAGCTATTGAGGACAACGAAAAGGTCAGATCAGAAACGAATATGTTTTGCCTGTATTTCCTGATACTTGGAATAGTTACTGGACTAGCTACGTTATTTCAGGTAAATTCATTAAATCAACAAATATATCAGACAGATTTACTCAGAAAGAAATGTGGATTACAAAAAAGATTGTTGAGAAAGCAGGATCATAACGGTTTACTCAGCCAAATGATTCAGTGCAAACCTCACAACTCACTAGAAAAGTTGCGACCTTACATATGAACGTTTTTTCTCAAAATTATTCCAAAATTATTCTCGATATCAGCATGTTAGTTGAAGCCACTCTGTATAATATTTTTGTATACAGTGCGTCAATTTTAAAACTTACAATGGTCTATATCTCACGAACGCAAGCTTACATCAAAAAATGCTTGAAACCGTTTCTAGGATAGTAAGGGGGAACTGAAGTGACATGAAAGAGAACTCACTCCCATCAACCCCCTAGGCCCCACCCACCAAAACACAAAAAGTTCAAATTGGAAACCCTTACTTGTGATACATCATTGAAGAGACTATAAAAATACTATCCAATGGTATAAATAATAATTGTGCAGGGTGAAGCAATAATTGTGAAACTTTGGCTAAAATGGAATATTTTATGAGGTTTCTGTTGAACTGCAAATTTATTTAAAATATCAATTAAGTGAATGTTCAAAGTGGGTTCCATTGTTTTGTGAACAATAATACAGCCTATTTTCAAATTCTTCACGAACTTTGGCAAATGTTGACAAATATACATTGTGTAGGAGCCGTCAGTGATAAAATCTTAAGTACTACTTACAAACTAATGGGACATGACATGTACTCTTCAATAGTATAAAAACTATGAGAACATAAAAAAATATTACAAGCGATATTTGAATTCGGCTTGAGACCTGCTCTCCTTTATATTCATTGGCAAATGGTTGAATATTCGGGGAGCCATCAGATTTGGTGAGTTATAAGCCAGCTTTGTTCTGACATATGGTACAAACAAATTATTATTTTGACGAGTATTCACATTGCGGATACATCTATTCATCAGAAAGATTTCATTGTCATTTTTAAAATACATGTAAACACAGTTAAAATATAAACAAACAAGGCAAAGTTAGAATATTAAAATTAACGAAAAATTTTTTGCAGGAATCCCTAATTGACAATCCTGTTATGGTTCTCAGTATTCTTTTTTGCACTAGGAATACCTCATTCCAACGTGACGATAATCCCCAGAAACATAGGCCATATCTGAGTCTGGACTCAACTTGAGCATAATACAGCGTCAGCAACTGACTAATATTTAACACTTGTCTTAAATTTCTAAGCTGAAATGTTATCGAATTCAACTTCTTCATTGAAAATTCACAATGATTATGCCAGCCTAAACATTGGTCGATATGAAGTCCCAGGAACTTTCGGTGCCTGTCGTTACAGAATCTCCCTTCTCATTTAAGTTTCGAAAAACTTCAGCACATTTCTCTTCCAAGTCAGAATCAGACCTATCCGAGACGATAATACAAGTGTCATCAGCGTACATTATTACTGTTTCTTCCGTATTGAGTTTACCAAATCATTTATATAAAACAGAAACAGTATTGGGCCTAATATGGATCTTTGTGGCACCCCAAGGTCCGTACAAATTATATCAGATCTCATTTTATTAACTTCTACAAACTGTTTTCTATGAGAGAGGTAATCCGATAAACAAGACAGCGGAAGACCACGTATGCCATACTTGTACAGTTTATCCTTTAGAATTTGATGATCTACACAGTCGAATGCTCTGCTGAGATCACAAAATATCCCAACAGGGCACTCTCCTGCATCGAGGCATTTGATTATTTCGTTATAGGATGAATGTATTGCTGTTATGGTTGATTTCTTATTTAAAAATCCATGTTGATTTATGGCAAAGACGTTATTATTATCACAGAACGGTATCATTCGATTGAAGAAGGCGTATTCAAAAATCTTCGAAAAGCAAGATAGGATTGTCACGGGTTTGTAGTTTTCCAAGGATTGGCAACAATTTTTTTTATGGATTGGAATAATTTTTCCCATTTTAAGAGGGTCGGGAAATGATCCAGTGGTAAAGGATAAATTCACCAAATAGACCAATGGCCTCATCAAGACTGGTAGACATTTTCTCAAAACAAACATTGGGACCTCATCAAAGCCGGAAGGATATTTATTTTTCAATTTTTTTTGTAAAAGGCTATATAGTAATGGCGCGACAGGCTTGCGTAATTCTTTCTCACAATTCACCAAGTGACGCAGGTTGAGTTTTATAAACAACTGACTTGGGGTGGCCCCACAGAAAAAAGTCAGGCGGTGCCAAGTCTGGTGACTTCGGTGGTCACTCAATGGGACCTCTCCTTCCAATCCATCTGTTCGGATCCACTATCCAACCAGTGCCTAACTGGAGCTGCATAGTGAGGAGGTGCTCCATCTTGTTGGAAGTGCAGCAAATCTTCATCTACAGTTAGGTTGCCTTGGTCGTCCCTTTGGTTCTCTAATTCATGCATAATTAAAGGTTCGATGGAGTTTTCCAGCATATCGGGATAAATGTCGCCACATAAATTGCCTGGTATGAACAAAGGACCAATTATAGCATCGCCTTATATTCCTGCCCAAACATTCAGTTTTTCAGGATATAGAGTGTGACCTTCTCTGAATCGATGAGGGTTCACTCCAGTACCGACAGTTTTATTCATTCAGCATAAAAGTACATTCATGACTGAAACAAATATT